CCATTTGTTTTACATTCATTCTTTCCATTGTGTTCTTGTCTCATCGCAGACACCGGCAGCCAGGCTGGACACACAGTCTCCTCATTGCTGTGGCCACGACAGGCTTCATGTTGCCGTGGCAATTTGCACAGTTCGCTCTCATGACGCAGGTACATGATCTTATCATTTAAATTCATCATTCACAAACAAAACATACATACTCATCAATTTTGGTACGGTGTGAGCTGCATGGCTCACATGGCAACTTCACTTAAGATTAGGAAAATTACACATTAATAGTAAATTTACACTTTACAGTCCAACAAAATGAACAATACTAAATCACAATTAAATTGCTTCTGGTGATCGCCAGATACGAAAAACCATAAAACCTACCTGCATCTTTTTTATAAATGGCTTTAGGAAAAGTGTGAACTTATGCATGTCCTATATGTAGACCACAGCTCTCGGGCTAGCTGAGTAATATCGAATATATCTGAGCATTTAAGAGACATATTTGCTGCTAGCAAGTGTGAAGTGACACATTTATCCACTAGCAGCACATACCATGTACATGTACCACACCCTATTCAAGATTCCCTCCGTGACCACTGAACTGTACACTTCTTACATGTTGCATATCAACGATAAATTGGATGTATTCTAAAGTCATGCTGGTACTCATCTCCATTTTTCCACAGTCAACTACTACACCATTGTGATGTTGCCCCAAATGCTCATGCTTGTGTCTGTTATTTCCTAGTTCATTGTTCCCAGCATAACAGGCGCTTGTTAGGTTTGTGTGGGGAGGGTATTTACCCTCGGTATACACATGCCCTATGAATGGAGTTTTGGGCACCATTTATAAATTTCTATAGGATCCTATGGGATTGAATGAAACCTGTTAGATGCCTAGGATCTTATTTTTGTCAAGTAACCAATTCTTACAGGATTTAAAAACATCAGGCATTATTCATGAAATATTATTTCATCATTCTCAGTTGACATTTTAAGCTTAAAGTCAAAGGTACCCTTAGGAGTCCACGGTTTCATTAAGTGCTGGAAAAAATTGGTAATAACACATATTTACAGTTTGAAATATAACAAATTTCCAAATGCTACACGTACACGTACTATTAGATTATCTACATGTAAATAAAGCAGTCAGAAGGGTTGGCGTATATACATGTTCATTTGTTAAGATTTTTGAGATTTAAAAAAGGAGAATTGTTATTAAGAAAATATTCATGCGTAGCTCTAGAACTTTGCAGAATACCTTATGAGTTGTTACATGTAGATAAATCGTAGAAATGTTAATAACATCACCCATACAGCCTCGCATCCGGTCAATCCACCAGTCATCATTCCCTTTAGCCACATAAAGAACATGTTATTTGTTATCCTTTGCCTGAGTTCTATTTTGTTTTCTATGTGATTAGACTCTGGCTGTATGTGCCTCCTACATCTTGGGTTATACCAGTCATCGCAAACTCAGATGTGTGGTCCAAGGACAAAGTGTGAGTTCAGATGTCATTGTTGACATTTAGCTGGTTTTTCTCCAAAGACTGTTGACTGAATTGTACCTCTGAAGAAACTCTGAAATTTCCTAAATGCTGTCTACAAAATATTCTTGCACCCCTTTTGTTCCTGACCAAAAAGAAAGATTCTTGAACCTGACAGTGCATGTAATAAAGAGTCTGATTACTTGCCATGTTTTGGACTAGCCATGAATTTCGCCTGAGTACAGAGTCTCTGTGATGAAGTCTGAGCTTTACAGGGTAGCAGAATATTCTCCTAGAATCTGCAGCATTCCTTTACAGTCTGTCATTCCAAGTTACAAACATTCCTTTCAGCCGTGACTATTTATGCACAAAACGGCAAAAGGTTGAAATATTCCCAATTCCCATTTTCTTGTAGCTGGGGCTGGTAGCAAGTTACATTCTCCTCTTTGGCAATGAAATGCTGCTGACATCCTTTTTTGCGTCCTGCCTTATTGCTGTGTGGGTGAGTAACTTCTTGCTTGATACTGTGTATTATTCATGGGGATCTCTTTGCACCAGTCTGTATGGCCTATTAGCTGCTGTACAACATAAGGAAATTAAATTTTTGTAACAGATGAAACCTTTATGTCAATGCTGTCATTCTTTACAATAAGCAAACATGATTCACATTACTTAACTCTGACCTTCCCCAACCACACAGAATTAAACAGTAGTAAAGTGTTTAATTCTGTGGGGATAGGTCTGGTAGACCCATAATAACTGGCTTTTGCATTGGGTTTGGCATACCTCAGAAAAACAAAGTCCAACAGCCTCTGTGCACAAAGTCCCATGTGGGTGTTTAACTTTGTGTGAATGGGGAAGGTTAGGGCCAGCAACCCTTGGGGGGGGGTAGGGTTAAGTACTGAGTACACATGGCCATTAACTTGAGCAACATTACATATTGTATCATTTTACATTAGATAAATTAGATGACAACATTTAGGTTTAAGGTTCAGCAAGAACGCTTTTGTACCTCAACCTATGAAGAGACAAAGAAAACTAAGCAATCTAACCTACTAGGACAGACAGATGACAAACAGGACAAAACAGAAACCAAGTGTGAGACAACAAAGTGGGTATTCATAGTACGTATTTTTTCTGCTGTGAGTAGCGTAGCAAATCAAGTCTCTTTAACTTGTAGTTCGTTGTGTGTTTCTTTTTGCAAAGTCTGAGCTTTGCAAATTTTACATCCTGAATAGGCTTGCAAATATGTAAGTTTGCCTTGGTACACATGTATGTACTCGTAAACAACAGAATGGATGGTTTACTTATGACGGGATTACATAGGCAAGGCATCAGCCTCATCAGTAGCCATAAAAATGCTCGGAGGTACATGTACATGTACAGTGTGTTGTCAATTGCTCCTCTTGTGGGTTTAGTTCATTCTATTAGGTATCTTCAGCACGGTACTGTGTGAAAAGTTGAAGAGTAAAGTACACTGTACTTGTGAAATGTGTGAATTTGAATCACGTAGACCGATCCAGTAAGCCCCGCCCATTGCACACATGGACACTAAGCGTGTGTTCTTTTCCAGTATCACACTCCTCGTTTCAGTCACGCATATTGTATGCGTGCGCATGCAAGCATGGCGGACGTAGATCACGACTGTGATTGGTCAGAAAACAATGGGGCGGGGCTTTTGGTCAATTTGAGTTATGCTAGAATATATTGACATCTGTCAGTGCTGCCATTCATTATAGTATGCACAAATGTCAACTTTTTCTAAGTATGATGGGATATCAAGCAGGACTTACAAGTATTGAAGTGTCAATTTCCATAGCATTGGCAATAAGTATTGTTTTGTTGTAACCAAATTTTGTACAGGTCCATACAAGTGGATCAAAGTCACATCAAGTGGTAATTTGGCTCGACATAGATAATGTGTTTTGTTTGGGCTCCAAACAGGGCACAGGAGTTCTTTTTCACAGCTTTGACTAAGTATTGCTTTGCTATCTTCATTAATATACTTTGCAGGGGATGCTGTTGATAGCCCCACTGTGGAAGCACAAGTCCCCACATCCTCTTGTTACCATTGTAAGTAACTGAGACAGATCCTCCTTGGAGTATTGAAATGCCCGTGTAAAAAAGACCTGATTTGCGATGGGCTGGTTCTGAATGATTACCCCAACCTATTCGGTTAGGCAAGTGCCAGAAGTCAGCCACGCCTTGCCTTCACTAAATTTATATACATGTACCATATCTGATGCTACATTTAGGTTGAGTTTTCTGTCAACTAGTTCAACAAGGCTTCTTTAAATGGTGAATTATGTATGGATTTTCACTTTGTTCTGAAGAAGTGCTGTATAATAACCAGTGATCTGACAGGTGTTTTTAGCATCATGCTTTCAATTTTGACTGCTGTTATTCCAATATTTCTGTTTGAAATGCAAGTATGATTCAATTGTTGCATTTCAGGGTATGGAAGGAGCAGGACTTCTTGTGTTAATGCTTAGCTGTAAGGTGTTGCTGTCTCGATTACTTAGCATCCAAGATGATGTAAGTGCTTTAATTCTGTTCATGAGACTGTCGTGACATTGGCATTAAATTCCTATTTAAAGATAGCACTCACCTTGGAAGTCAGATTGGCGCAGACTGTCAGTGGTGTAATTAGTCATATCACATCACTTATTGGAGTAGCGTCCCAGTTTTCATTCCTATTATCATTTTGGATGATCAGATTTAAGTGTGGCCTATGACTTCGATACTCCAAACTCAGATGCCATTTTGGAAACTGAAAATCCCAAACTTGTCAAATTAAATGAATGTTCGTAGTATTTTTCTTTTTTCTTTTCATTTTTCCTGTTTAGAGTAAACATATTTCAACACAGACTGGACACTTGACTTGGCCTTCAAACCATTCTATCTGATTGTAGATCCTAATCATTGCAGACACAAGGTGGAATCAGACCTTACATTTGAGGACTTGACCACGGACAATTACGAATAGAAAAGATGCAAGTTTATTGCGGTACTGACAGTTATAGTGCAGAGCAACTCAGTGAAGTTTCTGCATGGCTCAGCATTTAGCAAGTTCTTCCCGCTTCATTTGTGTAAAGTGCCAGTTCAGTATTCCAACCGTGCACACCCAAAATGATGCACGTCACACGGCATGTAGGCCGTGGGCTGGAAGGGGTTACAGTACTCCCTCCCTTCCTCAAACCCAATCATGCTCCTTATCCTCAGATTAGTTGATTTCCTCGTTTTACCACTCTAAACTCATGCCACTGAAAATCAAAAACACTGTACAAAGTTTGGCAAAGATTACATTTTCCTGTATTTTTTGGTCAAAGTCAAGTCGCATGTCTGTAAACCGATCACCACCAGCATTTTTACATAACTTACAATTAGCATGCCCCAGACAGAAAAAAAAGATCTCAGCCGAAAAATAGTAGGAATGCACTCTCTCAAGAGGCCCTTTTTGAAATCCCTTTCAAGTGCATCTGTACAGAATTCCGAACACCAAGGGTTGGATGAGGAACAGTCTGTTGGCCATACCTGCAACATGGCCAAACCTCAGTAGATCTTAGCCATACTTGACATGAAGAATGTTCATGAATGTCTCTTTCAGGAAATGTCTTTGATTGCCGTGGAAACCAACTATAGGATGGAACAGCCAATCAGATTTGATCACGAGTCTCCTAATTGGGCGCACCTTAATTTGTCAAGTTTTTGTCACCCAACATTTTTATTGTTGAACCTAAAACTTATACTGCTGTGAAAATGTTTGACTGCAATATATCCCTAATTTTTTTGTTCTGTTGGCATCTTTTTTCCTATTTTGTTGATGCCAATACCAATGGTGGTCAGTTCGGGAAGGGGGCTCTGAAACCCCTCCAAGCCCATGGACTCATTCGCGAACAGCAATATGCATCAGTGTTGTGGTCAAGACCACTTAAAGCCTTCACAAGACCACACAAGATCAACACAAGACCTCCAGTCTGAATTCAAGTCACAAGCTATTCAACTGAACTGCAACAAAAGCATTCCTTTGTCATTGTTCACTGTGTTACTTGTGACTGGTCTTGTGCGTGGTCTTGTGTCTGGTCTTTTCTCAACTACCACACTGATATGCATACATGTACACACAAGGTCTATCCTGTGAGCAAGTCATATGCCGACTCACACGAGGGCTTCGTTCTGAAATGACCTTGTCCTTGTGAAATACCAAACTGGCTTATTGCTACAACATTCACGGTGAACACACAATATTTCGTTTGTTCCCTCTCCTTTCAACGACAGGCACACATAGGCAATCTGTTCCGCTCCAAGTTTTCCAACTACAGGGATTTCCACACTATGTTATACACCTGTGCAGCCGAGTTTGACTTCATGGAAACCCAGGTAAACAAACTCAAAGAATGGGATGTGGTCTCTGCCCGTCCATGATGCAACCCTGATAGCATTACTAGTTAGAAATGAAGTCCCCGTTAGCATAGACTTTTGCTCAGCATTAGTAACGAAGTCCCTGTTAGCATAGACTTTTGCTCAGCATGAAAAATCGTTGCTTAGCAAAAACAGGTGCCAAACCAAGATGCAATGTAATGCATGTTTTTGGTTTCTTTGAAATGTTTAAAATCTGTAAGTTCTTCCATTGGTTGTTTCTTTCTGCTTTTATGCCTGTCATTGAACAGCAGTAGAATTGGATCTGCTTGCAATGTCCAACAAGTTTGTGTTGTCAAGAGCAGTTGGCAAATTTCAAAGTTCATTTACAGGAATACAGGTCCTTTTTTGTAGGTCTTTGAAACACTGAGAATTTCTGTCACCCTTAAAAGTTCGGTAACACTGCGCTTGGTAATGATCACAGTATTTAGTATTGTCCAATTATTTTCTTAGCCGCAACTGAAACCACCCAAAAGGACAGTTTAAGTCACATGTATGCAGTAAATTGTGCAACACCTGCAGGGTGGGTGTTGTTTGTCCCTGAAATGCCATGCATAGGTATGTCCTAACTTATGCAACTTATGCATTAAAATCTTGGGTTATGTAGAACTTGCCCCGTCGGGTACAGATTTCTAAAACCAACCCTGGCAGTGTTATACACGTACCCTTTTTTTTTTTCGCTCCTTATTCCTGCCCCAGACTCCTGTGCGATACCTGAAGACACTTCTCCTGCCAACCTCCGTCTTTGCCTTCGTTGGAACTGTGGTGTATGTAAGTCAGGACAAAAGACTCTTGTGATACTGGGGTCTCTCCCTGTGGCCCAAAAGTCAAAGTTCATGCTTCTAAAAAAAAGAGGGTAAAAATACAAGGGATAGTTTATGTGGGTCGCGTCAGGGAAAAAATAGAATAAAATAAGATCACTTGAAGAGCAAGGGTATTGAGGTTTTTTGTCATCACAGTGGGATGGTAAACAACTGAAATATTCAGAAAGAAAGTAGTTTGAAGGTCATTTACAGAAGTTCTGGACTTTATGTGCCCTCTGAACTGTTTACACAGGCTATATTAAGACCATTTTTGTTAAGGGGTGCTCTTTTCATTCATACATTTACAAACCATAATGCCAAAAGTCATCCTGTGGAGTCCTCACTATGAGCCTCTTGTTAGAGTGTTAAGAAGTTTGTGGGAGTTATGCTCTTGTTTCATCTGATTATAAAACTTCAGCTCGTTAGACAGGAGATCGTCAGAAGGACTGGACTCTCCAAATCAGGACAAGGCAATGGGAAAACAAGTAACACACATGAGCAGGAGACATCCAACAGGTGAACTTTTTGTTCATTCATTTGGTTTTTCTGCGCTGTAGCTTCACTAAGTGTAGACTAATCCGATTAGACGCCATAAATGCAGTGGCACCGCACTCACATGCACATTCTTAAGCTTGATGCGCATGTGCATTTGGCAAATCACGACACTCTATTGGTCGAAGAGGCATGAAAAGTGCGCGTACCACCTGTCCACGAGCGTTATGCCAACGCAGTAATGGCTTCTAATTCTGGTGGTCGAATTACACTATAGACCGGTGATTCAACACTCCTTGAAATTTTACCACTACTCCCAAACCAAAGCAACGTCAATTTGCCCTATCATGACTTGTCTTTTTGGAAGTCTTGCACAAGTCGTTATTCCAAATTTGCAAAATCTAATTTAGGTTTATCACTCACTGAGCCGTGAATTCCGTCATTAAAACTAGGAAGTGGAAAGTGATAGAGTTAAAAGTTAAAATTGATATCTGAGTGTGGTTTGTGAAACCAACAATACCTTTGTCAGGAATGCTGAGCTTGGTATATGTGAAAAGCCCCGCACACCTCCTTTAAGCGCAGCAAAACACTGTAATGTGAGGCTTTACCCTCATTAGATACCCCCAAATCTGTAGCACCTTGCCAGACCTCAAGGGAAACCTCCCCCAGTTGTCCAAGGATAGATCCAGAACCAAATATTTGAGGTTCAAAATTGTTTTGGAGGGGCCAAAATATTGGGAATTTTTTAATGGACTGGGAATCTTTTGTGGCCTTTTCTGAGGGGTGAGGCTACATACTGGGACTTGCTAAATGCTTTTCAAAGAAAGGGAAATAACATAGACCCAAATATTTGCCAAGGGGTTTTCAAAAAGAACAATGTTGTTACAGCGGGGGGAGGGATACCTTATCCACTCATGAATATGTCAAAGCAGTTGAAGGGAAAATGATAACCACAGCAGAAATTCTGGTAAGGACAACTCAGGTGGAAATATGCAGCAATTTGCTTTCTTCAGTTCTTTTCTTATTGTTTTTGAAATCTGATTCGTGTATTTCCCTTCTTTTCTCAGTGAAAATGGAGACAAGCCACACGCAGAGGTAAGAGCAGTTTCTCCCATGGTGTATATTTAAAGCTTAACCCCCTCCCCCTATCTTTTTTGAGGATTGAGGAGCATGTGCCACTATTTAGCTACACAGGGTGGGTTTGATGCTTCGTCAGAGTTCAAGCACAGATGTATCAAACATGTGCCATCCGTTTCCTCCGCAGTCAAGAATTTTGGAAGATTCAGGGAATGTTCTTATATGTAGCAAGAGGAGTATGGAGGGTTTGCACGGCTGCCATCTTGCAGAGTAGTGCTTTTGATACACAGAGTGTGTACAAAGGCGGTTTCCCTGTGGAACAAAATGACTGACCTGCAAGATGGCTACCTCGCAAAGCCTGTAATGTGAGGAAAATATTCCCCAGCTGTAATTAACCACTTACGGACGGTGGTTTTTCCCAACAAATTGGCTCCAGGCACAATGTTCTGGTACCTATGGGCAAATCCATTCATGTGGTGTACACATTCTCAAGCTTGGGGCCTGCAACACTGCTTTTAATTGTGGTCACCGGATTATTGAATCTGTAACTACCTTGTAAAGGTGTCAAATTACCTCCCCAAAATGAAAGCGTATTCATTTTAATGGCATTCTGTGTGTTTAAAGAGCACCTCTAAGGAAAACATGTTTTCTCTGATTTTATCTGTTCAATGCATGTAGCCATTGTTTTGCATGCCCAAGGGTTTATCCACTATGAACACAGGGTGAGGGTTCCTCTCATTTTTTCTGTTTTCTCCTCAACGACACAATCTACATTCAGAATTTGCATCTTGGCATGAACAGAAAGTAACGCTTCTGGCTTGTTATAATTGAGCTCTGAGCACAAATGACACTGATTGACAAGATGGTTGACAGCACGTTGTGTGTGGCACAAGACCTTCAAAGACGGCACCTAGTGGTGCCAAGTACTGTGTCAGTGCGCTATTCAGTCTGTACTTAAAGATCAGTGGTTACATCCTTGCATTCCCTCAAAGGCTGACCCAGACCTCAGCACTAGACTGGCGTACAAAGTCCAGTAAAAACTGTTAGCAGGCTAGTAAAATACATTCTTTCACTTGCCTGGCAGGCTAGTAAAGAAATCCCACCTGTTTGAACCTGTCACATATCTTATTTTTAAAGATGAAGGAACCAAAATTCAAACATCTTGAATTGTACGTGCTGTTTATTATTGTAACAGTTTTGAAGCCAATTTAAAACTGAAAGCAAGACTCATCAGAGATGGTTGAAAGCTAGCCAAAGTTAGTTTTCCTTAAAAAAAAATTCCAGTAGGCTTATGAAAATTCCTGCAGGGTTAGTGAAAAATAAGCTTACTTGCCCTGCACGCTTGTTAAAAGTATAAAGCTTAAGGTGGAGGCCTGCTTTGGGGAATTCCTCTTTGCAGCTGGTATACCACCTGTTCCAGTTGATGGCATTCACTGTCATGGCAATCATCATCATGAGGCTCAAGCTGTTCCTGACCCCTCACCTGTGCCTTATTTCAAGCCTGCTGGCATCAAGACAGGTAAGAGTCATACCTAGCATTGTATATGCATGAAATGACGAGGCTTTGCAGTCTAGAACTTGTACAGATTTTGCAAGCACAGGTTCAGCTGTATACCGTAACATATCAAATGGTACAAAGGGAGCCTCAAAATAACAACCTGTGTAAAGTGTTCATGGTTAATAGCACGAATGTGCAGCTAAATAAAAAATGTATAAATCATCGTGTGCCTAGAGGAAGGTCGTAAGTGCTTACGACCTTTTGCTGGGAAGCATGATCGCTGCCAATTTTTTTTTTCCCGGCAAAAGGAAGTATGTATGCAACTATTTTATTTTAATGAAATATAAAGATTTCTTTGCAAATAGTTCCAAAAAAATTTCCCAAGTCGTTTGATAAGTTGTTCAAAGGTTGATTTTGCACAGCCTGTGTTGATTTTGTAGTAAATTTTATCCATTTTTACTAAAGAGAGTGTGTTTCTTATGCCCATTTACCAGGAACATTTTTTTCTACTGTAATCATGCTTCCGGGCAAAAGGGCATAAGCGCGCCTACGACCTTTTGCCGGGCACACGACGAAAGACTTCAAGTCACCCAGCAGTGCATGGGGAATTTGCTGAGACATGTTTTGTGTTTCTGGCCCAGAAAATCCCCTGGTTAAAACATCCTTTGGCACAAAGCCCTGAAGAGTCACAGTATTTTAATGTTGTCACTGCAACAACCCCCTTTGCTGAATGATTCATAGATTTCTCTCCATCCCCAAATCTGATCCCTGCCACATGTATTTACTCCGATTACTTCATATTTTGAGATTGAAGTACTGAAATGCACACACGAAGGGGCTCTTGTCCCATGTCCAGTTAGTTTAGAAGTTGATGCTGTGCACCATGTTTCATACACCAGATATTTGGCTGGCTGGGTGACAGGATGAGACACGCTATCGTCCTGACCCTGCTTCTGTCCCTGATGTCCATAGCGGGGGTGGCCAACCTTCAGCACCAATGGAGTATAAGGGGGGACTTCAGCAACGCGCCCCAGGAGGAGATGCTGGAATGGGTCAAGGCCAACACCCCACAAAGTAACATAAGGTGGCATCCAGTTGACTTGGATGCAGTCAGCAATTACAACCAGCAGCCAATTTGACAAAACTTCGCTTAGCCTGTTTAGCCTTGAGCGTAGTTTAAACAAGCGAGTTCTCTCCCAGCCAAATAAGTTTATGTGTTCACCCATGTACACAAAATTTTAAAATTTTGTAAAACTTGAGCCTTAGTCAAGCATAATATCATAAAATTGTTCATTTGTGATTTGTTCAGTGCAGTTTCACCACCTAGAATGATTGCATGTTAAAGTTACACCATCATTTGCTGCACAACTCCCGCCATAGAATTTGGGCTTAAATTACGCAACTGTCAAAGTTTTGTGAGATGGGCTTTAGTGTTGTGAGTAGTCTGTGAAGTTACAGTTAAGACTGGGAACCAGATGTGTGCCCTGTAAGGTAAAAACATTGGCATTCATTTCCAGAATTCAGAGAAATGAAAAAAGGTTGAAGAAATGGACAAAATGGGCACCCAGTTTTGTTTGATAATCATACTTCTTAACAGTACTTAGACATCAAAAATGATTTTATCAGTTACTGCTGTCTGTACATCTGCATGTACATTGTCGATGCTGAATAACGGCACGCAAGTTAACGAGATACATGTATGTATGAAATGGTTTTAGTTTGAAGTTTCTCTACAAAAACTTTGACAACCTTCCCTTTGCACTATCAGAGACCTTACCAAGTAAATTCTGATTATGAGTACCTGATCCAGTGATTTAGAGCCAGTTCAAAGATAGACCAGCTCAACCCTATTGTAAAGTACGTACGTAAGCGAGTCCTATATTTTACATTAGAGCACACATTTTGCTGACTCTTTTTCGTGATTGGATGAAATTTGGACACGTATTGGTGCACTAATGCAGGGTAGCATACAGATGTACACAGGTGGTCTCATTTCCAGCCCACATAGGCATTTTCAAGGTGAAGTGCTCTAGATCTTACAGCATCAGCGAACCTATCTACCGTTGCAAACGCTCTGTGCTTCAGATGTTCTGCACACAAATTCGTCTCATGTTTCAGATGCTGTGTTTGCTGGTCCCATGCCCACCATGGCCTCCATCAAGTTGTCCACCCTGAGACCCATAGTGAACCATCCACACTATGAGGATGCTGGCTTGAGGTAAGACAGGTGCCTGTTTTTAGCTCTGTGCTGCATGCTTCAGGCATGTCTTCAGTCTCCAAATTCGGGTTCAAGATGAACTCACACGTAGAGGGGGGTTGATGTTTGTGCACTTGAGAAAGGTGCTTTATCAAAGTCGGTTCTGACCATTTGAAATTGTGGCTTCAGAGTTCAGACGTGCGCTAAGGACTGGTGAATACAAATTGCAACAATATAGAATGTCTCAAATGTACATCCTTTTGCGTCAGGTGAGCCTCACAGTGAAATCAGTGACCTTTGAAAGAAAGCTTCTTGAAATGAGTTTCAGCTGTTGTGTGAGCTGATGAAGGAAATCGTTACTCTCAGTGAGCATTGCTGCACTAGTCCCTGAGAACCTTTGAAACGGGGGGGCGGCAAAGTGTATTGTCTCATTGGTCCTTGGCCCAATTTGATTCTCTGCATTGCTGTGTTCTGACAAGGTAGCACTAATATTGACCGGCGTTACCATTTCTGTCGTACCCATGTCAGCTCTGTCTCTTTTGTGACATTTGTCATGTCTGTGCACATTCTGTTGCAAATTTGATCATTCGCAGCCCATGCCAGTAATGCACATGAGCCAGCCCCACACCTCTCACCTTCTCATGTAGTACTCAGGAGTAGCCAGACGTTACCTGAATTCTTAGAAGTTTACCCACTTTCATGTATCTATCCGTTGGGATTCCACTGAGCTACTACATGTATGCTTATCATCACCAGAATCTGCTAAAAACAGAGATTTAAGGCCATTTGAGTATTTTAACTTTTTGACATCTTCTACAGGATTACCAAATTTGGGGAATTGTACTAATTACACAAAGTTGCGCACATACACTTACTCAGGTTATCATGTGACGTACCTGACGAATCACATTGACACAAGTGTAGCCTCCAAAATTTGTATCTCGATGAAGTCACAAATCATTATTCTGTGATGTATGTATTACGTTTCATAAACGTGTACGTACTGTGTACATGCTTAATTCTTTAGGCACTTAAGAATTTCATTTTTGATGGCAACACATTTGTCTTTAGAAATGAATACCTGCTAATTTAACACAAATTTGTGAAAACAGGAAATTTACCAGCCTTTACAACGGGACTATCGCATCACTTAAGACTTTGGTGCTTCGTGAGAAAAAATATTGCAAAAATCTTAAAGAATTGATCCTCTTTATACATGATGTCGTCGAAAATGGTTTTGCAGATGTGTAGACAGATATAGCCATTCATCAAAACAATGATGACACATGTGAAGGGAATAGACATCAATGATACACAGCCCTTCAGTGTATTTGACTTGGGCAAAGTTAGCAGCACGAATGCTTGCCTTGTCATAGAGAATCACATTTACCATTCAAACTGAGCGGAAACAGGCACTTAACTTCCCTCTTCCCCTCCCATCTCTCTTGTCAGAGCTCGTACAAAGGTCGTGTATGGGATGTACAGTAGGAAGCCTGCGCAGGAGGTGTACGGAGGCATCAGAGCCCTGAAAGCAGACTTTGTTGTGCTGGAGCACTCCTGGTGTGTGCGGAGATCTGGGTAGGTCCAAGCATCAATGAAGTCTTTGACTTCTAGGGATTGGCTGGTGCCCATTGGGCAAGAGTGCATACAGAGGCGAGATCCAACCCCCTTCCCCCATTAAAAGAAGAGGTTAATGTTGGGGGTAACAGTGAGGGGATTAATTGATGTGATTTGCTTGCGATGGCATGTAGAAAGCACCCACTTTACCCATACCTCTCCGAAAGTGTAATAGTATATTAAAGAAATTCTCAAGTTGCTTTGACCTCCCCCCCCAAAAAAAATTATTGCCTCCCTTCAAAAATATTTTTTTGGATCCCCTTTTGCTGTTGGTCTGTTACCTTTCCGACAGAGAAGATGAGGGGGTCCATGCTAATGCGGTTCATTCATGTTATACACCGTTGTATTCCATCTACTGCGCGCATTTCTCCGCAAGTTCTTTTTCATTTCATTGCAGGAGGTTTTACCTTTTGTTTGACTCAAGTACAATTTTCTCCCCTTCAAATAAAGCCCTGGATGCAGCCTGCCCGAAATCTGGGACATTGAGGACCAGGAGAATGCTGGCGAGGAACCACTCTGCCTGAAGCTTCATCGAAACGCCGCCCCTTACTTCAGGGAGGTCTACCGCAATGACGTCTACACCATTCTGAAGCTCTGACACGTTTAAGAGACGGTGTCAAGCTTTTACGACTGTGAATACTTGTTCTTGCCGTTATTGAAAAGTTATGCATGTCGTTGATGTTACGGACTGCGTTTTGTTTTTATTGCTTTAAAATGGCCGGCAGGGTTTTAGTAAGATTTTATGTGTAGGCTGGAAATTTGGATTTTGCCTTGCATCGACAAAGGCTCTTGCTATGAGTCTATAAGACTGAAGTCTCATCTGATTGGAAATATGGGAGATGGAGTCTGAGAAAGTCAGTTTGAGTATTGAGTCATGATCGCAAATTGTGGAGTGCAGGCAATGGGTCACTGACCAACTAACAGAGAAGAAAAAATGTTTCGCTGTTTTTATGCTTGCTGTGTGTGAATACACCTTGGTAATGTTGTGATGTAAATAACTTGTCTCACATCACAGCAGTTAACATGAAGCCGGTTTGGCATTTCAGTGATACACGGTTATTTGAGATAAAAAAAAAAGATACCTGGTGTTACACCAGCCAGAACACCCATACCTGTTTTACATTCAAAGTGAGGACATTCCTTTGTTCTCCTGTGGTTAAGAAAACTTGAGGACAATGCTCTTTTTTCTCTAATTAGGATAACTCCTTCGAGCTGGATTTTTTACGATGATTTCCTGGACTGTTCCTCTTCATTTTGCCACAGATAACCTTGACCCCAAATGCCTCTGAAACTGTTTTTCAGAGAGGGGGAAACATTGTGTGGACTTGTGCGAGTCCACACAACGCCATCGTACACCCTACATGTACATTATGTGGACTTCTTTTGTGCAGAGGTCCACACTATGTATGCCACGCCTGCACACACCAGTATAGTTCAGTTGGTACACTTACAGCTGTCGCGCTGATATGGCTGATCTGGAGCACGCACAGTGATAGGACCCAGTAAACTACAATGCGCTTTATTTTTGTGCACGGTCTATCGGCAAACCATGCGGCACATTGTTAGCTGTTATTCTGGAGGTCTGTTTTTCCATGTATAAATGTATTTGCTCAGGTTTCATATAAGTTTTTGTTTACGTTTGTGAGACAGAACTTGTATGTAATACATGCAGTTAAATAACAAGAAATATTTCAACCACATTTTCTCCATGATTTTTTTTGTTTGGTTTTTTTTGCACTGATTTGATACCTTTAAAAAGTGTCTCCTCATTCCAAGCTTCTGTCCAGATGGCCAGTTTACTTCTTACCGTTGGAGTCGAGTCCAATACAAATCCTTTCAACAAGTCCAGTCGAAGACCAGTTGTATTATTGGTGAACAGTTACAAAGATGGGAAAGATCTGCCACAGTTCATTGGAATTAGCTTGGAACTCGGCTCAAGGCTTGATGACCATTTTTTCTTCCACGAGATGGACGAGATTGTAAACACAGTCTTGCAGGGGACTGGATTACAACACTTTGGAATTGCGTTACTTTGGCACAGTTTGGTTGAACTTATGCATTGTTGTTCTTTAACCCTAACAGTCCCAAGTCCTCCAATTTCAATACGATTTTACACACACCCTTGGGGGTTAGTGTTAATAGTAAGAAAGGGCTTAGGAGAGGATTTTGAAGAAAATGACAAAAGTTATACGTAGTTATGAGTGCCTAATGTCTGGCTGTTGACTGGGTTGTACATATGTAGTGCCGTTTACATGTGTGTTTGGAGTATGTGCCAGAAGTTCACCTTCCTGAAGACTGTGCCTCTCCCATCCACTCTTTGGATTATCGGGGAGTCCATGTGTACTTCAGTGATTCTTATTTCCAATCGAGCCTTCCTGTGGCTCTTGCGGGTAAAAGGCATTTTTATGCCGCAGACCCTGTGCAGATTTCGACCAAGGAAAAAGAATGACCCAAAGATAGCCTTGCCTTTTTCCCCTCTCTTTTTTTTCTTTTTTTTTTTTTTAAATGATGACATTGTGCAGTAATAGTTGTGCTCAAACTTATTCGTATCCTTTGGAAAATAACATACTTTGCTAAATTCTTCCTTTTTATAAGCTATTATGTTGGTACTTCCACTATATCTTTTGTCTATTTGTAGTAATACACAAACCCACGTGTGTTGGCTAAACCTCATTTGCATAACAATAGATACGTCCCAGGTTACTTTTGCTCCTGGTCAAAATTATTTATTCTCCAGACAAATCCCAAGAAAAAAGTCCTTTCATTCATATTGCATATTTTCACTTTCTATTACTGCAAGAATCTTTGGCATGAACCTATTTCAAGATGTTCCAATTGAATAAATACCTTCTTTTGATGACTTTGTGTTCAAGATTCTGATGAAATGCCATTTCCCCCAAAGAGTATTAAAAAAGGAAAAGTTTTTAGATTACTCTTAGTTACTCATCACCATGGCCAAGAAGAACGAACTCATCAGTGAGGATATACGCCAGCGTATCGTGAATGCCCATAAAGAAGGCAACGGCTAAAAGGCATTTTCCAAGCAATATGGGGTCCCTGTTTCAACAGTTCAGAGTATCATCAGGAACCGAGGCCCTAATTGATACCCTTGATAAGGCAGAGACGAAGGTGTCACGGGCAACTATCCGACGAGTATTGCACAAAGGAGGTCTCCACGGATGTAGGCCCAGGAAGACACCACTTCCCAGAAAGAAACATGAGTCTCGTCTGGCATTTGCTAGAGCACATCTGAACCTAGACTCTACCTTTTGGTCATTGGTCCTGTAGTCTGAGGTAAAGATGGAGTTCTACCTCGCTATCCCTAGCACCTCGGCCTTACGTGAGATTGCACCTGTCACCGGTGTGCTTCACAGTAGAGAGAATCCATTGTTTAACAAATAAAGAATTTTCCACTCTTCAAAATCAACTAGCGACAATGGCAGACAGATAACATCCAAACGGTGGTTTCTCACTTCCCCGTCCAACCGACCTGCAAAGCGACAGAAGGTGGATCAAGACAGCTCTTCTGGGGCAGAGTCGATCGAGGTCGACAGAGCAGTTGATGAGCTGCTTCAGCCAGAGGAAGGGGGTGACGCGACTGGAGAGGTGCTGCAATCCTTCGAACAGCTATACGCTGTTGAGGATTCAGGCAGCGCCGTTGGCGAGAAATTAGCCGATGTCGTGGGCAAGATATTACGTCACAAAGCTGCCGACGAGAAAATTGTCTCGAAACTTAAGGACTACAAACGTCCGGCCAACATTCCACAATTGGAATGCACACGGGTGAACCCCGAAATCTGGGAGTCACTCAAGTCCAAGACTCAATCGCTTGGTATATAGTTCCAAAAAGTCCAGCAGGCTCTTCCCAAGGCCACGGTGCCGGTCATTTCTTGCATCGAGTCTCAAATGAGCGCTTGTGCCAAAGATGCCAATGCCAAGGGACGCATCACGCAGTTGCTGGACGCAGTGGCCATAATTGGCTATGCTAACTACGAGTTAAATCTGCGCAGACAAGAACTCATTAAGCCTGACCTCAACCAACAATTTGGGAGCCTCTGCTCAGTGCAAATGCCAATTACAGATTTGCTCTTTGGAGAGAACTTGCCTCAGTTGTGCAAGAATATCCAGCCGGCACAAGACCAAGTTCCAGAGGCAGAAACTCGCCTCGGAATTTCGGGGAAAATCAATGAAAACAGCCAAGTGATTCAGCGTGGCCTTTGGCAAACGACATCATTTTAAGGACGCAAAGCGTAAGTCGACAGGCCTACTTCAAAATAACTAGTTTTCTGACTTGCGTTGGTAACAAGTCATAAAGTCAAGTTACACGTCATTTTGTGTAAGGCAAAGTCAAGTCACCAGTCAAGAACTGATTGTTACAAGTCATTTCACGAGTCAACAAAATACCGACTCGAGTCCTACTCGAGTCCAAGTCAAGTGACTAGAGTCTACAACTCTGATGTTTTAAGACCTCGGTCAGAAATATCCACATGTTTGCATATTTTAGTTATCTGTCGTTTATTGTCATTGCTCTGACAAAACGAGAACCGATGTTTGAAGTTGGTTCAGTGCCGTTTCAAACTATGAAGGATTTTTCTTATAGGTTGTCTCTGAATAATAAAAACGTAAGTGAATCATTTAGGCCGCCCCCAATTCCTTGGAGCATGGCGCCGTTCAAAAAGGATTGGGCCTATTTTCTTCAAAGTGTGGGAGAGAGGGAGAGCGGCAATGGGGTGAAACTTGCATATCAATTATTGTCAAAGCTGTTTCATTTGTAACATTCTATAAATTTTGTCTCCGTTTGGGTACCGCAACCGTTTCTAATTCTACGTTTTTGCGGGCCACAATGACTAGTACTTGCGTTGCCTCCATACATGTTTCTGGTTACGGATCCGGTGACCATGGAAACGCTATTCGCCATAGTCCAGTGGCAGGACTTGTGAAACGCCTATACGTAACAAATGTTTTGTGACGCTCGCTCTTTACAAAACCCAAAGCAATGTTTTCGGCCGCTTTGAGGAGGCCCTGGGAATGTCCAATAAACACCACTCCATTGTTCTATCGTCTCTTGGAACTGGCTCAATAGCAATGCCCCCGTAACCTCATCCCCACGGTGTCCAGTTGTGTGCCCCACGGCTATTAGGAGCCTGACAGTAAAAACCCACGCAGCGAACTTCCAGAACCCTCGCGCGGTCCATCTATGGGGGATTTTACATGGGGTTGCCCTATCACGTTCGATATGTTATGGACGAATGATTCCTAACTGGAACATCCCAAGAAACACTAATGTCGGAATTTGAGATGTATGAGGTATTTGGAAATCAATAATAACATAAGTTGATGTATGGCAGTACCGAGGTTGAAGTTGTGCAGAAGTCAACGAAACGAGGAGTGAAGAAACAGTTTGCAAGGTACACGTTTATCACCTTTTTATAAATATTCAAGGGCGTATGATCTACTTGGTCTGCAATGGGGAAAAATGTAATCTATATTTTTAACGCTGGTGATACCAAACCTGATAAGGCAACTGTCCCCTGGGAAAAATCCTACTGGCTTTTGACTTTGTGAATAGAAATCGTTGCAAAAATATACTTGTGAGGCAGACTTTTTTCCGTTGAAAAGCAAGTAAGCCGCGCCTAGCGTTTTGTATTCGAAATTTGACGTTGTTTACGATCGGACAAAACAGAAGGCGGCAGCATACACAGTAAAACCACCATATCAGAGGCGTCTCGCAAAGCACTGACGTGATATGGTACACGATGCCTAACATGTCAAACTCTCGAGTTCGTCAGTTCGGGTTCAGTTGTATTTGTGACCTGAAAAGTGTTATGTGTCTCGGGAAAATAAAGTATAAATTTAGACTGTCCCAACTACAGGTCATCACACACTCTGTGTCGTTGACCAGCCGTCTGGCAAAGAATTCTTCAGTATGCGTCACTCTAGTCTTATTTGCATTGCAGGTAAGGAGCCGTCGATGCCGAGAATAATTTGTAGTTTTTCTCACCTATTGTGGATGTGGTGAAATGGTTGTTCATAATAGAGATTCTCATGTGTGGTACTAAGTCAAACGTAGCCTATGTGCTTGATACTTGAACAACCTTTGTATTTAGCACACCTCGGGACTTGTTAAAGGACTTGACGGTGCAACAGTGGTAGATTAATTCAGTATTATATGTCAAACGTTTATTTTCTATAGATTTTCGACTACAAAAAAAAGGAAAGAACCCGATATGAAAATTCGGCAAGCCGAATACACATTGGGCTGTTTAATTTTTTTCAATCCGAAAATAACTTACGTTTTGTGATTAAAGAGCACGTAGCCATTTTGTCTGAAAGTTTAAAACACGTTCGAGTAACCGCCGTATCTTTGTTAGCGCGAGTTAAAATAAATTCGCTTTTATGTTAATTTCTGCTGAGCTTTGCCTTCATCCCAGTACTTGGTTTTGGACTTGGGAAACCTTTTGCTGTGTAAAAAGTCTGGGAAAAATTGTCGGGGAACGGGCCCTCAGTATGTAAAGGAAAGAGTTACTGTGACATTTGACAATTAACATTTGATAATTTTCAGCAGTACTGCTGTACGGTGTCTGCGAGGCAGTCAGTCAGCCTGGACCTGTGGTGAGTATGCCGATAACATGCATTCATGTCAAAGACGTACGGGCTCTAAATCTCCTGTGCCCAACTCTACGAACCTTTAACCCTGAAATGGCGGAACGCCCCATCTCGATATTTTTTCAAACATCGCCGCAGTCCATTTTTGTTTTTGGAGCTGAGCCTTGAGTACCTTTTCGAGTAACTGTTCACGGTCATTTCACACCAATTTTGTGAAAATCGAACTACGCAACGCGCGTTTTCCCGAGACAGGTCAACCAATACTTTTTCCACCGCGGTGTCAATTTCAGCGGGCTGTGACGCATATACCTCTGATCATCAAACAACAAAATCAGATGTCTGATGAGTTGAAACTTCACATCTGTACTGACAAGGAGTGTCTTTACATGCACGCCAAGTTTCTGACAAACGATCAAACGTGGCACAGCCGAATTCTTTGGGGCGGAATCCTCCCCAGCTGCGAGATGGGCCAAAAATAACAAGGCTCTTTGAAGATTGAGATACAAAAGTGAAAATGATGAATTTCAGTAAACAGCCGAACTCCAGAACAAAACTTAAACAGCGCAACATTATCATTCCCAAACGAGCAAGGAACACCATGCATAGTGGTTGGGTTCAGTGACCTGGTAGACTGACGCATCTCAAAAAATGAGGAAGCGGGGGGGCGTTACTGAATGAGGAAAATTTTATTCTTGAAAACAGAGGGGAGGGTTGAAATGAGAATAAAAGTACACATGAAGTGAATATAAAAACTATTTGCCAATCCTCTTCATCTACTGCTTTTCAGAGAAATGTTAACAAATTGCCTTTTTATTTACCATTCCTGATGGGCTAATGGAAAACTTTACGTAGCACTTTAATGACCAGAAAGGCGTTTCTATTAAAATCGTGAACCCAGAATTTACTTAGGCCTACCGAAAACATTTCTGAGAAAAAGACTGGTGCTCACTTACTGCTATGCACATAAACAACAATAAATTAGCAAACAAAAGAAAATTTAGTCCAGCAAAATTTACAAAAATTGTAGGACTTTTTTTTGGACAAACCATGCAATATTTAGGCTTTTTCCTAAATCACAGTTTTGCTCATGAATATGAAAATACTCATAAGCATAAAAACTGAAAAGGCAGCAAAATACCCTTTGAAATGGTAAAAGAAACGTTGAAAATTGGTTAATTGAAGGTTGACCGGGACACAAAGGTGCACAGGAAGGTTTGTAATAAAACAAAATGATTGCACCTTCCCTTTAGAGCATTAAGCTTCCAAGTCTAGTAAAAACGTTTTCGTTTGCTGTGCTTTCTTTGATAGCTCCCAACATTTTGTGAAGGGTACCTCGCACTGGTGTGTCCCCCAGTTTTGATGCCTGTGTGTGCCAGCACTGGAACCACCTACCCAAATCTCTGCGTTGTGTGTTCAGCCATGAGAAATGAGGAGCTACCGACCACACTCACGTACACGAAGGGTCGCTGCGCCACCGATTAACACCTCCCCCAAGAGTGGAAGACATCGTGGATTCAGCAATACCGGGCACTGGCTAAGCTTGAAATCATTCTCGCCTTGAGAAATTAATTCCAGAAAAAAAAAACCTCTTGAATTTTTGGAGCTATATGACAATGATAATTGAAACACTAATTTTTGCATTATTCGGGGTAGAGGTTTTGAGCATTTATCAAGTAGCAGTTAATTAAAGGAAACATGTTGCCTGATTTTTGAAAGTTATGATTAACTCAGAAACACAGACCTTTAGTTTTAATTTTGCAACTTTCCAGAGAAATTTGTAAATCAGTTTCCTCACTATGAAAAGCAGCAAGCAACGCCATTCATCAAAACTGAGTGTACTTCATTGAAACGTGAATCCTTTGAAAAAAATTGTTTACTCCTCGGCGTGTATAATGTGGAAAATTGGAGTTAATCACTGTCTGTTCAAAAACAGAATAAATCGGTGACAATAAGCGTGTGATCCACTGGACGTTTTCTATTGATTTGACTCAAGCCCGACTTCTGTCCTATCCATTGGGGTTGTGATGTTCACATGTGATGATTATCCAGATCATATCATTTAATTACTGTTTTATTTAATCATGGTAGTCTCGTCAGTAAGGCTTGCTGCTTTTAACGAGGGCCCTGAACTTAAAAACAAATTATTATATACTAGAATATAAAAAACAGAGAAACCAAAATTAGATATCTACAAACGTAAGTCAAAAGTTTATCAAAATACTTTGTAAAACAGGAAAACATTAAGAAACAGAAAAAAAGCCAAAAATGGTAAGAATTGACACACAATTACAAAGTTCACAAATTTAAACAGGTGCATAATGAGATAGATAAACACTAAGACTAAAACTAAATAAAACTAATCGAGAAGGCATCACAATAGACTTAAAAAACAATAAAGAAAAATACATACAAACATGAAGACAACTAAACAAATCGAACAATTAAACTAAAAAGCTTAATAGAGTAAGAACGGCGCAAATAAGAAAATGGACTTGGAAAAAAAAATATAAAAAAAAAATTCACAATTCAAATTTGGAATAAAAACATATATAAAAAAATTAAGAGAATACAATAGCACAGAACAAAACTTCTGTACCTCAATATTAAAAGTAAAATAGTACAAATGCTTAGCCAAAGGTTTGTAAACACGAGGGTAACATGACAGCAAATCGGAATATAACAAAGAGCAATACAAACAATGGAAGTTGTTAGGTAATTTAGTTGACAAAAGTACAAGAATTCAAGGAATTAAAATCCCAAAGTATACTTAACTGAAGATGCAAATAAAAATAAGAATGAATATACAAAAACAATGAAGGTATTTAAAATATGATTTTACAAAAGGAAGAGAATTTGCTTGTCTATGTACTGCTATTAATTTGCTCCAACCCAGGGTTCCAAGATACTGAAATGTGCGTTGGCGACATTTGTTCTGAGGACTACTGCCAGGGACAAAGAACCATTCGTTAAAAACGGGTACCAACGGGATGACCTGGTGCAGTGAAAAGGGAAGAAAGATAGCATGGGTTGAAGTTATTAACGCACTTTAAGACGTCACACATTCTATGGCAATGCTAATGAGCAGGTAGCGATTACCAAGAAAGGGTCTCGTTCAAGTCAGCTACATGGGTTCTCGGGTCAGCATTAAAGGATCATTCTTGCTGAGCGATTATGTAGCTTTTCTAGCCTATCTAATTTTTAACGAGGTCATGTGACCCTCATCCGATCCAGGGGAACTCAAGAATTGCCATTCTATCACAACCCCATAACAAGCCATGACATGGCACCATCAAAGCTTTCGTGATTGAAATGTTAATGAAAAGTTACCCAGATCTCAGTCTATGCAGCTGGACAAGCAATGTCACAATAATCAAAGGCAAGACCATGGCACTGCTCAACAACGTGAATATTATGTTTGGAACACAGGGCTTAACAGAACGACGAAGAAAGCAGATTTTCTGGGAAATCTTTGTCGCTGTATAGTCAATGTGATTGACCCATGATAAATGCTCATCCGACATGAACACAAGATACTTGTAAACTCAAACCCTTCAAGGTTTTCATTCTCAAGGGTGAGCTTGATATTTTCAAAATGTGGTAATCGAAATCAGGATTATCCATCAGCACAGTAGAAACTGCGCCCTCAGGACCAACGTGAAATACGGCAGTCTATTCGCTATTTGCACGCTGACGCCTTCGGTGTGCACAGCCTCGAACTGGCAGCTTGTACAATCACGTCAGAATCGCTTAATCAATTCGTCTGGTATAAAAAACTAACGCAGCACGCGAACAAATTACATAAGCAACATACACAGGAATCACTGAACCGACCATTATTCTGTCTGTCTGTCTGTCTGTCTGTCTGTCTGTCTGTCTGTCTGTCTGTCTGTCTGTATATCTATGAGAGATTTAAGGGTTTGATATCATGAAGTGTTTTAGGTTGAACAAGGATGTTTGTTTAATATTCAGGTAATATGAATGGTCGTCAACCCACCTCTTTTACTAACACTTTGAGCACATTCTGCGCTATGCACAGACAAAAAATAATACAAATCCAGTCTTGGTTCACAGCTACTACATAGATTGCCGATGAGCGATGGGGATGGACCGATATCGTGCACTTGTAGGGCAATATCTGAAAGTCACAATCTATCGGACGCCGAAACCAATACCAGGGACGACCTTACATATCATAAGTTTTATACGATAGATATCCTCTGGTATATCAAGAAGAAAAGTCGGTGAAAGAATGACAGGCAGAATTGTCTGTTTTTGAAAACCAATGCCAGTAAAATAAGGTGACAGATGGTAGTTTTGAAATTAAAGTAAGAATATGTCTGCTATCTTGTTTAAAGCAGAAACAAGCTATTGGCAGATCCAAAGAACCGTTTCAAATGAATAAACTTTTTGAGAGCATAATTTCCATCGTAGATTGCGAAACATGATACTTACTGTCGTCTGTCACAGGACATTTTGAAACTTTTTAATGGCAATATCTGACGAACCTGTCATTCATTGCAGTCTTCAAAAGGGCTCCATATTTTTCTGTTATCACTGAGGGAAAAGTCTCTTTAATCACACACCTAATAATACGAGTTTTTATGGCGCTCTATAAAAGAGACATTGTCTTTGGTAGAAAGTATACGATTCTTTGATCCGTATGGTTTTTTTTGTTTGTTTTTTAGCTTCTTATTTATCGAGTTCAACCTGAATACTACAGTCAAAATATCTGTACTAATTTGGTTCTACTCAACTTTGCTTCGCCAATCTTAGAGGGGTGTTAGACTATCATGCTGGACCCATACATCTACCCAAGGAGACTTTCGTCCCCTCATAGATTTTTGGACGTGTCTAATTAAGCATCTACATGTACCGTGCATGAAATTCAATCATCACCCTCTCATGTAACAAAACATCTGCCGCGTCGAAGACGTGATCCCACGAGAATGAGACAAAATAAACAGACAGATGCCATCAATCCTTAGGTTACTGTAAAACAAGACAGCGTAGATTTTGTGTCACCTTTTGCGTGACCCATATTGTCGGTGTGGCTGCTTCAAAGGGATTATATTCCAGCTATCTCAAACACACTGTATTCAACTCTAGAAGTTTCTCTGATCGCCCACCCTAATAAAAGCAACAGGCTACAAGCGCTCAACTCCACCTACAAGTCAACTGCTGAATACCGAAAAAAAACTCGGTCTTAATAAGCCTTGGTATTCTGATTAGCGGAATATTTTACTTTTATCCGAATTCTTTCCTCTGTGAAACCATCATGCATTCTGCTGCTTGGGTTGTTTGCTTGGCAGGTAGGTCACAATTATTTTTTCTGTTCTTGGGAATTTTTTTCTTGTGCCAAATCTGTCCACATAACTACTGGTAAAGACTTACGGTAGATACGCAAGACATTTCGGTCATTAAACAGCCTGAATTGCTGCAGTAGGCCCAGTGAAGTATTCATTCAAGTTAAGTGACTAAGGCCTTGACTATACGCTGTGCTATCTGTTGCCTTGCCAAACTTAGATGTTTTTCGTTCAAATTAGGCACCGCAACAACAGGGTGTTTGGTGCCAATTCAGCTCGCCAAATTGCATTCAGTACGGCAAGCCACAACGTTTACCTCGACAGTGCTTTAAAAAGGCAGTGGCGGGACATCGCTCTATTCTATGGTGTTCTATAGCCGCTAAAATCACGTCGCGTCGTCCTCTCGTCACGACGCGACGCTACGACAGCTCTATCGCGTCGTGCCATCGTGTCTTGCCGCCGTCTCCTTTTTTATGACTTTTATGCTGCGTATAATGCATGACGTCGTGTCGTTGACTTGTTGCGTCGTGTCCTTCAGCCGTCGCGTTGTGTAGTCGCGTCGTGCTGTAGTTCCTTGGCGTCGTGCCGTCGCATTATGCTCTCGCCGTCGCCTCATTACCGGTAGAAATAAGGGGCGCCCTTAGTGACGTTTAATACCAATTGATACCATAAATCGATACCATATTTCAGGATCAAATCTTGTAGGACCTAAGGGTGCATTCCACTAAATCGTTGGATTTTTGCACGCAAGCTCATTAATACTGTGTGATCCCATAGGGCTTTTACAAAAAGACATGCCATAATCAGGAGGGATCATAGAAATATTTCTATAAATCCCGAATTTGGGACTGGTAGTTTCCAGTTTCGGGGTATTTCTGCCAAAAAAAGGCCCCAAATTGCGGGCCTATTTTGAATTGAGGCGGGCGGCATTATCAGAGCTGAGCGCATAGTTGTACTATTAGTTTGGGGGTATCTTCGGGGAAAGGGGAATATAAAAATTCACATGGCTAATAAAATTGAAACGAAAAGTGATCTTCTGGTCATAATCTTGAATTTCCAGTGAAAAAAAGGAGGACAACTTCATCCCGAGAGTCAACAAGCGGCGCTATTTCGGTTTAATATTGCACTGTTTTCTATGGGCGCGTATTTGGTATAGTGCAAACCTACACACACATGCAAGTGTGTATTTGCCTGCAACTGAGGACCCCCTATTGTTCCTCTTTTGTTTGTACTTAAACTTTTTGGAAGACCACCCAGTTGTCAATCGGGGACCCTCTGTCAATCAGGGACCTCATTGTCCTCTATTGTTCAGGGTCCCCATTTGAATGCAGAAACAAACTCACATTATTGTTTACGGGACTTGTGGCATACGCCCCCTAGTGGCCTTAGTAATCAGCCATTTTTAGAAACAGCAGGCCTAAGGCTCAACGGCACGCTACGACGGACCACGACACGATGCAACAGCATGACACGACGGTGCGACGACAGGACGACAGCAAGACATCAGGACCGCAGCTACAGCACGACGGCAGGACGCAACGGCCTAACCCACACTGAATAAAAACTATACAATCACAGGCGACGCGACGCCAAGACGGCACGACGTAATGCATTAAACACAGCATAAAAGTGACGAGAAAGGAAGCGAG